GAAATCTTAGCAAAACTTCCCAAATCTCAGTTTATTAAAATTAGCGTTAGTCTGTGGTCTGGTTACAGTACATAAGCACCTTCCCAGTGAAAAGATGCTGCAAACTTCTCTGATAGATAAAGACAGAAGAACATTCATTTCTGATATGAACTATGAATCTGGAGAATGCAGACACCATTGAACTGCTGTCTGTGACAAACTAAACTTTCTCTGGAATACATGTTCAGGAGGAGTGAGAAAAAACTCTGTAGGAACCATACTTACTTTGGTCTGTATCATGTAAACATTTAATTGAATAATTTTGTCAACTGTCCATAAAATGTATTGATTATATAAAAGTTTAACATGGTTCACATTAAACAAATATTAAGTGAGAAGAAATATTTCCAAGTAGCCTTAACTGTATCAACATAATAATTTGGGACCATCATGCAATTTGGAGAGTATGGATCTCAAAATATATTACAAATAATTTATAAAACTGTATATAGGTTTTTGTTTCCTAGATGATGACACTAATATTTGGAAGTAGTCTTAGATTAATTCTGGCATTGCAAAATCCACATTCATTCTTGGGAGCTGAGCTTTTTATTTGATCCTGTAATAGATAGCTATTATTCTGATATTTAGCAGGTTATTAACTTGCTCAGGTATTAACAACTATGTGTTACATTGGTAACTCTATGTGTTACATAGAGTAATATTTGCAAGCAGAAATTGTAGCAAGAAAAGATTTTATTATAATGCTATCAAACTTCAGGAATCAGGACATGCATATATAGATATGTGGTGATATATATATATATACACACATACTATATATAGTATATATATACACATATATAAAATTTTTTAGGTAAGTGGGGATGTCTAAGTGTCCAAATTTGCTTCATGAGAATGGAAAATGTCTACCATATAGAGAGATCTATTAATATTGTAGAATACAAATAAGGAGCTTTTCCTTTTTTATTCTTCAAGGTTCCCAAACAAATCACAGTTTACTTCTGTCTTGTAACAGGGCCTGTTACAAAGACCTTTGATGCTTCCTATCAACTCAACAGGCTTTGGACCTGGCCCTAAAGTAGTAAAACCTTTGTGGAATGTTTATAGATAACCACTTAGTCCATGCCAGCTTAAGGAAAGCAAAAGGAAATAAATTAAATGCATCTTCCAGTGACATAAGTCTCATGAAGAATTAACTAGGATAAGCACTTACTCTAGCTGGTGCACTGTTGATCTGAACAATGCAGACAAAAATAATAATTAAAACATAGCTTCATGCTGAGATGAAACTTTCAAGAGAGTCTACTGTGTTAAGCTTATGATTTTTTCTGGTTTTGTATTTGCAAGCATAATTACGTCCCAGAGGCAACAGGAGCTAGAGCTTGTCAGTCCCTATTTCCCCCTCTGATAGATTAATTTCTTTACACAGAAATTCAAAAGTTGATGCCAGAGTAATAATAATAATGTAAACAATTCTTTTATTTTAATCTGGAATGCATAATTTAATGGCACAGTTGTATAAATAATGAAAATAGCACATCTACTTTAGACAACTAAGGGTAAACTGAAGGTAACATTTAATGTAGTATTGATTGACCGCATCAACCAAACAACGGCAGACATCTGTATGGATGGCGGCATTTAGGAAAATGCTACCAAGTCCATCAATACAGATCAAGTAGGGGTGGGATGGGGCAGACTTGATGGCTCAGAGTCCTGGTAATGGAATACGAAGCCTTTCACCTCCAGCACGCTGACTTGAGCCAGCCTAGGTCAGGCTGTCACTGAAAGTCATTACCGTCAGACGGTTCAGTGAAATGGGTTTGTCCTAATGGCACGCTGTCTGTGTCACAAAATGCACCATCTATCATGACTGACATCATGTTGAGATTTTCAGCTGGAAGGCTGGAAGGAGAGAGGATGGGCTCCACAACCCTCCTATCCCTGCAGAAAGCATGAGTAAGGACAGTTGTCTGGGACTATGCTGCAAGGATTTTAGGAATGCCTGATTTTAGGGATAGTGGTGTCAAGCATGATAGGAGTAGGCACAACACAGGAGTAGCATGAAGTTACAGTAGCTCTATTTGGGATGGATTTGAGAGAAACAATCACACGTGGGGAAAGCAAAACAGGGCTTGCAAAAAAAAAATGTAGCAGAGTCAGAAATCTTTATCAGGCAGAGGGGAGAAATGACATATAAAAGCTAAGTGAAAACAAGACAGGATAGAAGAAAGTATTTGAAAATGAAGGCATAATGTGTACAGAGCCAGCATAGGGAGACATTGGAGAGATGCAAAGTGAGGAATTACATGGATAATGGGATGAGCTAAAGTGATTATTTCTTTCAGTAGCAGCTCTGGCTGGATATGAGAAGAGCAAGACTGTATCTGTCAAAGCCACCAGAAATTAGATTGTTAGGAAGTGACAGGAGCACGAAGAGAGTTTTAGCTTTGTGGTTTAGATGGGGAATACCGTACCTTGTAGAAGTTCTGAAGTAAGGTATTACCTGAAAGTTTCAATGTTAGTCTGAATAGTAGCCCAAATCAAATAACTGTTTTACTGGCAATATTGGTACAGTTCAGTTTAAGAGATGGGAAAAAATTCTTACTTGGTGATAGCAAAATTAATAGAACAAAAATAATTAAGAACATTGTTTCGCATCTTTGAACTTAATGTTTAGACATACATTAGGAGACATCAGGTTAGACAGTAGATAAGTTGTTGCACTTCAGGGATATAGTTTTCTGTATGTTAATTTAATCTGTGTTGTCAACTCGGAACAAAAATGTTGAGCATCATTTCCCAACCTTTTACCTAAACTAACTAAACTCTAAAAGCTCAGGAATGGCTTTGCAAAAAGATAAATAAAAAACGAAATCTATTTTCAATGGGCTCAACTACACTTCTGTTAATAAAAGTTTCACAAATCAGAAACTTAAAAATCACTGCATATAATGAGGACAAAAAAGGGACAGATTCTTGTCAAGTTGTCAGAAGAAACTGAAGATCTTATGAAATAATGAAAACAGGAGGAAAACCAGGATAAGATAGTCACTGAAAACAATGGCTGATATATTTCCTTTAAGAAATTGTGAGGTAAAACTATGTAATTTAAAAATACATTTAGAGTTTTATACTAATCTGATCCAGGGATGTGACAGCAAACTGATGGGTGTGGCAAGATCAACAAAAATCCCTCTCTGATTGACATACATTGCAGTTACAGTCACATAATAGTAACGGCACTTCTATTACAACCTCTAAGAAACAGATTAAAAATATCCTAGGACACGTGTACTCCACCCAGGCTGCTTCTAATCCCACAAAACACAGCAAGCTTGTCACAGTAGCACTTCATTGTCTAAAAGTCAACTGCTCTTCTGACCATTCCATTCCGACCAGTGTGAATCCCTTCTTGCAGAAAACAATCGCAGCGGAAAACAATTTTCCCATAAAATGAGGATTAAGAATGAAGACATGAAAAAGTGAAATTAAAATGATGAAAACATGCCAATGCTTATGGAGCTCTTTTTCATGAGTCACAATTACTTGTGGCTTTTTTACAGATTAAGCATTGAGGCTGCTGGGCATACACTGGTTTATTACTTAGAAGAACAACTGAGTAGTGAAATGAATATTGTGATTAGGTCAAATTAGGTGAAACTGAACTAGAACCAGATGTATTTTGCTACTACGACTCACATTGACAAAGTCCTCAGCAGTGGTTCAGATAATACAAAATAATGTAGCCAAGAACACTGATCTTGATATTTCTTCATGTAATTTTTTTGGTTGTGAATCTACAGTCAAAAATCACATGTAATGCCTGTTTCAATGTATCTGCTGTTTTTTTCATAATATCACATTCAAAAATCCATGAGCATAATTGTGACTTGGATTTAAGTGAATCATATTGAAACAATCAAGAAATTAAAATGAAATATTAAAATATTTTACAGGTATATGGTTTCTGCCTTACCATTAGGAGTATGGATGAAATAAAATTATTGCTGAAAATTCTGAACACAGAAAAATCAGAAGGTGCCTACAGTAGTTGTGACAACTCCAGTCCCAGAGGAGCACAACATTTCTTGGGAAGAAAACATAATGTTGTGTCCAGTGACCTGCCACATTCAAACCAGCTAAGTATCTTCAGTGTGAGATTTCTTGGCAACAGAAAAGGGTACAAAAAGGTATTTTGTCTCATGACTCAAAATCAGGACAGGCTATTCTTCTATGAAAGCTGTATCATTTAAAGCATTGATTAATCTTGCTATAGAAATGACTGGAGAAAACTGGTTTGGTATGCATGCCAGACTTTATAAACTCTGAGTAACCAACTTTTCTGCAGGCTCATTCTCCACTCACTATGCACATTATCTAGGAAGATGGGGAATTTCACCTGGGTACAGCTTTCACTTCCAAAGTTGCAGAGGTAAACAAATGCAAATGTTTATTCTCCTGTGTATCTTTCCTTACAAGGGAGAGCTACACTTGGCCATCAGGTGCCATTCTGCAAGAGCCAAGGCATGCACTTCAATATTAATCAGCAGACTGTTCTGAGAGTCAGTGGCTTGCTTCTTGCACAGAAGAATTATCTGTTGCAGAAGACTCAGTCCCATCTCAAGGTACCCAGAAAATTACCTGTTGGGATTCATAATTATCCATGTGTTTTGTTTTTAGGACTTTGAATGTAAGCTCCCACTCGGCTTGTACTGATGGGGTGCTGGAGATAGATGATTTTTATGGTCCCTTCCAACCCAAACCATCCTGGGATACTACAGAGTGAAAGAGGCTAATTGTTTTTCGCTCTACAAGTCTGGAGCAACGCGGTACCTCCCCTGGAAAACCCTGCAACACACCCGAGCACCGCAGGCGAGCGGGAGCCACCCGGCCACCGCCAGGGCCGTGGGGCCGGGGCACAGCGGGCGGGACCGGGAGGCGGGGACGCTCGGGCAGGAGGTGGCGGGAGCCCCGCTGGCGCAGGAAGTCGGCCCGGCGAGGGAGGAGGGAGGAGGCGGAGCTGTGCCGCTCGGCCCGAGGTAGCGCGCCGCGTCCCGGGGTGGGCGAGCGGCCGCGGCCGCGGGGCCCGAGCGGGCGCTGCCCCGGCCCCGGCC